TTTCTCAGTAGCATTCTGTATTGTTGGAACATGTCATAAAGAGCAAAGAAATGCATCTGCTGCTTGGGTTCTGCTTGCCAGCTGGTTTGAACAGCTATAATATTTGTTTATTCTTGATGTGTCAGCAGTCAAAGGGAAAGTTTTCCTTTCTCCTTTGTGGCTTTTATATAACATAAACATCATTATATCAATGACAATGACTATTTATTCAGAATCTGTTAAGCTCTGGGGAATACAAAGCCTCTGAAACATAATCTCTGCCTCAGATGGACTGTTGTTATCTGGTGGGAGAGAAAGGTCAGAGATCTCGAAAAGAAGGAAGACACTAAAGTTAGTTGTGAAATGGAGGCATAAAGAATAAGGTCAGTAGACATTTAGAGGAGAGGAGAGCTGTTCAGGGCTTGGGCCAGTGAAGCGGTTCGAGAAGGATGGGCTGTGTGGGTCTGGAATGGGTTAAACAGTATAAAGATTGAGAGAAGGCATCAGAGGGCATGGTGTGGGCCTTGAACCCAATGACATTGGGCCTGTGGGTTGTCACTTTTTTAAATAACTATATTAAATTATATAATCCTTGTACTGTGTATTTTAATTTTAGGTAACAAAGGCATCCGAGAAACAATGATCCTTTTTCTCTGGTTGAGAATGTTCTAAACACATTGGTAATAATGGTATCATTCTTGTTTCTGAATCACAAGGATTGTTGGAAACACGATTTGCATGCTTTTGAGTTATGATTGCAGCTGAACATATTTATGAAGCCTTTCTTCTTCCTGGAGCACGTACTCTGAATTTTAAGCTCAACTGGATCCTAAACAATAGAAACAAACTAGACCATCTCTCTTGTGTGTGCTACCTTTCTTTTCCTCTGTCATACATCTCAAAGTATCTATATATGTCTATGTACACACAAACACAGTTGTGTTTTTCAGATTGCAGTGTTATTATGAATTTTATTGAGTAGCTTATATAACACATAGGCTTTCTGTAGTCTTCTCAAATAAAAGAACTGCTGTCCTTGGTATAACAGCCAACATACTGTCAATTTGCCTAGTGTAAGTAATTGTAATAGTAAATAGAAAAATTAATGCTCTTAAAAGTACACATTAGTTTTCATGAGCATTTGAGGAAAGTTGCCTATAAAGCAAATTGTTTCCTTTTGATGTCTACTATAATTACAATTGTTTAATTGAGAGAGGAAAGGTTTAAGACATGACGGCACGCTAGATTCTGACATTTGTCATGTAATGGTGATGATGTGTTAGGAGGCACAGCAGTTAGGAGACACTCAATCAGAGTGGCCCTGGTATGAGGGGATGAGTGCCTGGGCCAGGAATGGAAAAAATGGCACAGATATGAAAGAAGCATTCATGTTACACCTATTGATAGTGAATTGACAAGGTGTGTGTGCGGGGGAATTAGATGATTCCAGAAATTAAAATGTCTAGGAGAATAAAGTTATCTTTATGAGAGTGAAGAGAGATTTATCAGCTTCATCATCTAGGAGACAGGTCCAACTTTATATGTTGAGTGCCTTTTGCTAAAGATAAGTGTTAGGCTAAAGGCCTCTCTTGCTTCTGTCCTTTTTGACCATAGCTTGGTCTCCCAACTGAAATAACTCTTAGACATCTTCAGAGAGGGAAGCAGTTTACCTGCCCACCTACTGGCAGAGCTGGGACCAGGAACAGAGCTCCTGGCTCCTGGTGCAGTGTTTTTTCCTCTCTCCCGTGCTGCTTTGGAGGAAAGAATAGCATCTTAGGAAGGGCCCTTGATCTCACTTAAGATCTTATCTTTGGCTAAGAAGTATTTTGAAGATATCTTCAAATCTGTGGCCTGTGGAATGGTTGGCTCTAAATAAATATGAGGAAGTTAAACTCAGGAGATATTTTCCAAAGCTAAGAAAGTTTAATTTGTAACTTAAAAAATGATTTTTCTTCCCCTATAGAAACTCTACCAGCAGGTGGTAATCAACTCATTTCTTAACCAGTGCTCAGGAATTAGCAGTTCTGTAGTGTCCTGTAATTTGCTAATTCCCAGCTACTTGAAGTTTTTAAAAAATATTTTAAAAAATAATTTAAAAATTTTTTTAATTTAAATGTTTATTCTTTATTATGTATTTTACATGGAACACTTCAAGAGAGAAAGTCATTACAGTGATTTCAAAATACAATCCCTGGATTCAATAAATATCCTTAATAATTACAGCTAATCAATGTCTAGAAAAGTATACACTAAGTCAGCTACCGAATAAAATAAGTAAAATAACTGTAAACTATAAATCTCAGGATGGGGATCATGCATGATCAGTCAAGTCACTTTGCCACCATGATTTTTTCTGAGATCAGATGAGATTGGCATGTTCAGGCTGGTATGGCTGTAGATGCCATCATGATTTTTTTAATAACATAATTCACATTTGTTTCAATCACATATATATATCCATTGTGAGAGTTAAGTTGGACTGCTGATGCTAACTTAAAACTATGATCTTTGTTACTTTAAAAGAAAATTCAGTTTAATAAAGAAATTTAAGAAGAAAATTTCAAGACCGTTGATCAGAAGCTTTCAATGCTTGTACTACTTTGGTGTAGACAAAGATTCAAGTAAGGCTAAGAAAGAAGCGTGTTTATCCAGTGAAGACATGGTCTAAGAAACAGGTGAACTAGGCGCTTTGTAGAAACTAGCCATCAAGATGTTACAGCAGGTGACTAACCACATTTAAGGAGTCTTAGCCAGTGTTACAAAAATAAACAGTCATATTTATGAATACAAACATAATCGTTTTTTTGCCTTTTTTTGAATAATCACCTTCGAAATGCTAAACATGGGTTCCAAGTATGGTTCTTTGCTGGTTTGAGAAGCTGCAGATACACATAGGGTAATCTACTGATTTATCTTCTCAAGTTACTCTTTGTAAGCAGTTGGACTTGTCTTTATTGTAGGAGAATTGGTGTCCAGTTTGCTGGGTGGACTTCTCCGTGGGCTTCCATGAACTGGAATGCCTTCACCAAACTGGGGGGATCTCTTCCACACTTTGGCCCAGTGGGAGATCTCTGACACTCAGATGTCTGATGATTCCACTGGGGTCTATTATGAGGAGCCCTCTTAGTGCAAGACCGGGACCTTCCAACAGTACACTGTAGTCTGGGGAAACTGGTTTAGGTAAATCTGACAAGAGTGTAATGATCACGTGACCCAAATCGCCATTCTTCCTTGGTGTATTTCTCCAGGCAAGATGGCTGAAGTGGGGATCCACTGAGACTGCAACAACTTCACAGTTCACATGTGAAATTCACTGGTTTTGTCACTAAAAGCAACGGCTTCTGTAGGGGACACAAAGATGAAATCCAAAGGACAGAAGAAAAGCACCAAATATGTCCCCTTAAAGTCCCCAGGCTTAGTTCTTTGAACTTTCTGTTGACAACGGCTATTCCCTTAAAATAGAGCACATGCTGGGTGACAGCAGGAGCTTGGTATGAGGAATTGGTGCTAAAGGCGAATTTTGCCAGACCACAATATATTTATCCAGCACATTCTTCCAGAAGCAGCAGGCCTAAGAGTTGCAGAGGCAGAAATGCCCCCAAGGAATGGTGTTCGCATGTCAGGTAACCAAGGCCAGGAGCAACCTTCCCATAGCAGCCGTCATCTTCACGGCCTCTTTTAAATATTTTTATTTCAAAATAATGTTTAGGGCACAGTGACCCAGATCGAATATTCCCAAAATGTTGGTTTAATTATGGCCTAAATGAGATATGAAATCATTCCAATTTTAAGCCCCCGCCCCCATTTTTTCGCTACTAAGGAATTTTCTATTGTATAATAAGAATACCAAATCCAAGAATCGTAAACCAAAAGCTTCTTTAGTTTCTCACTACTTAAATAAGGGACTCAGACCAGGCAATAATACCAAAGAACTATTTTAGCTCTAAAATTCTTTGAATATTTTAATATAGAAAAGAATTTTTAAAAATTATAGGCCAGTTGGTCTACATTTTGGAGATTCTGATTCAGGACTCAGAGAAACGAGACATTTTTTGAGTGCCTACTCTATGTCAAGCGTTGTGCTAAATGCTTTACGTGTATTACATATATAGAAGTACTCCCTTCTTATTCATAGGGGATACATTCCAAGGCCCCCAATGGATGCCTGAAATCTCGGATAGTACCAAATTCCACATATTCTATATTTTTTCCTATACATACATACCTATGATAAAGTTTAATTTATAAATTAGGTACAGTAAGAGATTAACAATAACTAATAATAGAATACGTATAGAACACTCAGAACAGCGTACAATTTAAAATGTATGAATTGCTTATTTCTGGAATTTCCCATTTAATATTTTCAGACTGTAGTTGAACGCAGGGAACTGAAACCAAGGATAAGTGGGTGACTACTGTAATCTCTCTGGCAAACTCTGTTAGATGCGCGCTTTCCCCCCTCATTGCAGATAATTAACTTGCCCGAGGTCATACAGTGCCACAGGTCAGACCCAAATCTGCTTTGACACCAGATCGCAAGCACCCCGAATACCGACGGAACTGAAAAACCTGTCTTAACAGAAATTAACGTGCATCCGCTGATCAGTATCTATCATAAAAAGCCTCATGTCTGTTTTGTGAAAGCGTTTAAAGGGCAACCTACCTTTTTCCAGAAGTTGCGCTGAAGTTGTTAAAGGCTCAAGTAAAAAAAAGCTGTTAAGCCAGATAAAAATCAAGGAAGGAAAGTTCCGCCTTAGCCGACAGTGAGCCAGCTTATTGGTTAGGCTTGAGCGGGCTGACTCATTTCTTTTGCTGTGGCAGGAGGGCCACACCCAGCATTCCGAAAACCCTCTGCTGCCGGGCCACACCCGCCGGCCTCGCTGCTGGAGCCGCGGAGGTGGCGCTCGGCGTGCCAGCTCGCAACTGTCCCCCAGGAGAGGGTCCTCGCACGCGGGCCGGGTAGGGCTCGGCAGAGAGGCGGCCGGGGCCGGGGGCCGGCGCCGCTGACCGCGCTCGCCTTTCCGCCTGCGCCGGCGCAGCCAGCGCGCACCAGAGCCGCGCGCAAACTTGGTGCCCCGGGAACTTTCCAGGAGACTCTGCCTCCGAGGAGGAGCGACCGAGACCGTAAGTGCTGCTCCTTCTGCGATGCTGTGGGTCGTTACAGCCCTCTGGGCACTCGCAGACGGTGGGACCTGATTAAACGCAGGGAAGAAACAACCATTCTTCCCTTCCAGAAACACCCACAATCGCAATCAGTGAAATTTCCTTTACTACGACGGAGTAAAGGGAATCTTGGGGTTTTGTTTGTTTTTATTACTGGAACCCGCGTTAAGGATAAGATGGGCAGTAGCTCTTTCCACCTGCGAACGCTCAGTGCAGTTGCTGAACGCCGGGTCAGGGTACATAGGTAGGTAGGCTCAATCAACACACGCTCTGAAGAGCCGGCGATGTTCACCGCTGACTTGTGAGCCAAGGCTCAGCGGCTGGTTTCAAGTTTGGGGTTCCTTTCTAATGGAGGCTATTGAGAGAGTGGGATTGTATTTACAGTTTGGGTGCTAAGTTTTCGGGAAGTACTCGCTCTCTCACACTCCAGTCCCTGTACAAATCGGTCCTTCAGCTAAATTCCTTTGGCTGGTTGGAAACTAGCTGGTGAGTGACCTGTGTATTAAGTGGCAAAAAGAAGCACGTGCTCCCCGTGTTTTGGAGTGAGCGTGTTTACTCTATAGCCATGCTTTCTGTTTAGTGTGGCCAGGTAATTGCTCACGCGGAACTTCTGGAAACAAATATTGGAGAAGAATGCATGGCATTTGCCTTATTTTCTTTTTTTCTTTTTCTTTTTCTTTTTGGCTGTGTGTGGTTGTTATTTAAGTTGCACCAAGATAGGAATCAGGAGACCGACATTCTGCAGGACATACGTGTACAATTTAAAATGTATGAATTGCTTATTTCTGGAATTTCCCATTTAATATTTTCAGACTGTAGTTGAACGCAGGGAACTGAAACCAAGGATAAGTGGGTGACTACTGTAATCTCTCTGGCAAACTCTGTTAGATGCGCGCTTTCCCCCCTCATTGCAGATAATTAACTTGCCCGAGGTCATACAGTGCCACAGGTCAGACCCAAATCTGCTTTGACACCAGATCGCAAGCACCCCGAATACCGACGGAACTGAAAAACCTGTCTTAACAGAAATTAACGTGCATCCGCTGATCAGTATCTATCATAAAAAGCCTCATGTCTGTTTTGTGAAAGCGTTTAAAGGGCAACCTACCTTTTTCCAGAAGTTGCGCTGAAGTTGTTAAAGGCTCAAGTAAAAAAAAGCTGTTAAGCCAGATAAAAATCAAGGAAGGAAAGTTCCGCCTTAGCCGACAGTGAGCCAGCTTATTGGTTAGGCTTGAGCGGGCTGACTCATTTCTTTTGCTGTGGCAGGAGGGCCACACCCAGCATTCCGAAAACCCTCTGCTGCCGGGCCACACCCGCCGGGGCCCAGTGCTTTTTCTTTTTGGCTGTGTGTGGTTGTTATTTAAGTTGCACCAAGATAGGAATCAGGAGACCGACGTTCTGCAGGACATACGTGCAGGGGAATGCTACAAGTAATTATCACTGCACTTTTAACCCAATTGGTTGATGAATTTATGTAGAAATAAATAAGCCTCTTTTACTTCTTACACAGAAAAGCAGATTTTTAGTCAGCAAGTGCATTATTTTGGTGCAAGTAACTTATTTTCTTGCAAGAGTTTGGAGAGGTGGGGGACAGGGAAAACGGAATCTTGTGATTACTAAGGACATATCACAGTGCAACAGAGACTACTTACCACATCAGAAACAGTGTGGGGGGCGGGCCGGGTGGCGCACTGCTACAGTGGCCACTTGGGAGTGCGGCGGCGCTCCCGCCGAGGGNAAAAAAAAAAAAAAAAAAAAAAAAAAAAGAAACAGATTGTGTACTGGAAAGGTAGGTGAAGACATCCCGTAGCATAAAGGAGGACAGGGAAAGTTGTAAACCGAATTACAAAATTATGAGCATGTTTTGTTAAGTTATGAATGGTAGTATTACACTTGTGCATTTACGAATAAAATAGGCAATAGCTATTATGATAGACTGAAGTCAGAATGACAGACTAATGGAGAGAGGAAAAAAGGAAGAAAATTCTTTGCAGCTGACTTTTTTTTAAAGAGAGAAAAAATTCTTTGCATCTGACTTTTTTAGGTGTGTGGAGGAAACTACTCTAGAAAGAAATCACTTCTAAATGGAATAATTAAAATAATTTGAAAACTTTGGTTACTCCATGAGCTCCTAGTAGCATTGTTTTCAAGCTCCTAGGCTAATTGTTAAGCTCAGTTGCTTTGAGTTTAACTGATCAAGTACCTCTTTGTGAAAGGTACCAACTTGGAATCCTCTGATTTTGAGAAACAGCCTGTGATGTTGGGAGAAATGGCCTTAAGTCTCTGTTCTCAAGTCCACGGGGGCAGTTGGAATAGCACCCTCAGGTGGTGAGAATGGGGAAATGTCTTATTAAATCTCTATGGTGTCTAAAAGCTAAAGGGATAATTAAATTTGGAATTTTACTAGTTTCAGTTTCACCTAATAGTTATAATAAAGCTGAACATTTAAGGATCTCTTTTTATCAGGCTCTGAGATGCTTTGCATCCATTACTTCATTGAGTTTTCACAATAGTGCAAAGAGGTGGAGGTATCATTATCCCTCTTTAATAGTTGAGGAAACAGCCTCAGGAAGATTACATAACCTGTTCCAAATTTCACAGCTAGTTAATTTAATTTACATTAGAAGTTAGCATTTAAAGTTTGTTTTCCTTGTGGCTCCAATTGCTCCTAAAATAGTGTTGATTTTTTTTTTTTNTCACAGCTAGTTAATTTAATTTACATTAGAAGTTAGCATTTAAAGTTTGTTTTCCTTGTGGCTCCAATTGCTCCTAAAATAGTGTTGATTTTTTTTTTTTCTGTGTGAAATGATCCAGAGGAGGTTCTTGGTGCAAAGCAGAGTTTTAAGTGATTTAAAAGTTCCTTATTATCCTGGTGCCAAAATACAAAGTTCAGGGAATGATGCATTTACTCGGGAAGCTTGTGGTTTTCAAATATTAACTGAGCAAGCCCTACTCTTGATGAGCCCATTGATACACGCAGCTGCCTTAGAGTTGCCAATTTTGGGTGACTTTCTTATAATTTTTTTCTGAAGCCCTTTATTTCTATCTGTGTATTCTTCCTGCTACTCACAAAGTGCAGCTCAGGCTTTCTGTAATTGCAAAACCAAGAGCTGGATCCATGGATTGCCAATGGTTGACTGCTCTCTGTGAGTTCACTCTTGCAGTATTTTATCAGCTATGTGAAACATTTATAAATTTATATTAGCACTTCGGTTATTGTTGAACCTGTTTATTAAGAATGGTGAGGTTATGAAAGGCACACTCTGTGAGTGCTAAAACTTTACTTGTTAGATGGAGGCGGGAATTTTAAAGTTTGTTTTCCTTGTGGCTCCAATTGCTCCTAAAATAGTGTTGATTTTTTTTTTTTTCTGTGTGAAATGATCCAGAGGAGGTTCTTGGTGCAAAGCAGATTTTTAAGTGATTTAAAAGTTCCTTATTATCCTGGTGCCAAAATACAAAGTTCAGGGAATGATGCATTTACTCGGGAAGCTTGTGGTTTTCAAATATTAACTGAGCAAGCCCTACTCTTGATGAGCCCATTGATACACGCAGCTGCCTTAGAGTTGCCAATTTTGGGTGACTTTCTTATAATTTTTTTCTGAAGCCCTTTATTTCTATCTGTGTATTCTTCCTGCTACTCACAAAGTGCAGCTCAGGCTTTCTGTAATTGCAAAACCAAGAGCTGGATCCATGGATTGCCAATGGTTGACTGCTGTCTGTGAGTTCACTCTTGCAGTATTTTATCAGCTATGTGAAACATTTATAAATTTATATTAGCACTTCGGTTAGTGTTGAACCTGTTTATTAAGAATGGTGAGGTTATGAAAGGCACACTCTGTGAGTGCTAAAACTTTACTTGTTAGATGGAGGCGGGAACGTCTCAGTGTGTCTCACTGGGGGCAGCCAATTCTGAGAGTGCTTCTGGTATTGCACCTGTTGGCAGGTCACAGTAGAAGAGAACTGCGCCACCTTCATAGAACACGATGAACTATAGCATCTGTTCCAGGACTGGGTATTTCTCATGTACCCACCTGATCACCCTCACCATCTATTTGACACAGAACACCCACCTTCCTAGGCCAAACAAGGATGCCTTGGCCACCTGCTTAAACCTCACTAAATCCTAGCTGCTTAAGAGACTTGAGTTCTTGAGGATGTTGAAAGAACATGCCAGTGTGATGATAAAACCTCTTGGGAGTAGTCTTGGGAAAATCACGCAGGAGGGAGGCATGCCAGAAGACTCAATTTCCAAAAATGGGGAGTGGTAAATTTTAATTTTAATTAAAAAAAATTAATGAAAACTTTACATTCAGAGCTTATGTTGGTGTCTAGCAGAATTGTAAATCACTTTTTTGAAAAGATGGATCGGGATCCTTAAAAAAAAAATGATCAGTGTCTAACATATGTTAGCTAAGGATTAGCTAACATCCAATTAACCTCATTTCTTTTTTGATAAAGTTATTACACAAGTAGATCGGGGCATTGTCATAGATATGACATGTCTGCTCCAGCAAAACATTTAACAAAGTGCTACGTGTGTTCTTTACTCAAGGTGGAAAAATGTTGGTTGGACAGCAGTGTAAATAAATGCGTTTGCGTCTTGTACCCAAAGAGGGATGATCAGTAGAGTGATTTCAGACTTGAGCAAGGTGCCAGCAATGTGCCTTGAAAAGAAGATACTTGATACAGCTGGGGGAAGACTCACACATTACTAGAGAGAGAGTATTTAGAACCAAGTTGGTGATAATCCCACAGTCCTTTGAATCACTGTAGATAATGCTTAAAAACAAGGATTCTGGAGCCAGACCCTGAGCAAATTATTTGAGCCCTCTGTGCTTCAGTTTCTTCATTCATAAAATGCAGGTAATAATGCCTACCTCATACAGCTGTTAAAGATGTTGAAGGATTGAACTAGATAATCCATGTGAAGTGCTTAAAACAGGGTCTAATAGCTGTTAGTT